AGCAAAGAAGTCATGAAGTTCTTCGAGTATGCTCAAATTGACTTCAACTATATAACCCCACTCTGAGGTTTCGCTGGTGAGCAGTATGTCTGCCAGATTTTTTTTTCAATCATGAAAAATCGTTCAATGGCAAAGGGCAGTGTTTCATTATCCCCCCGTACAAATTGTTTGCGTCAATGTTGAGGATGTAGCTTGATCGTTCTGAGGACAAAAAATTGTCAAGGTATTCATTGTTTACTTTGTAAATCGGCGCGCGTAAACCGACGACATGCCTCCTCGTATCATTCGCTGCACAAGGTCCAGATGTTCACGATCCGTTAAGAGTTTCAGGTCGGGCTTATAAACGTTTAGAAAGGCGTCCCTGGAAAAGTTACTTGCCGTGAAGTATTAGGCGCAATCCAGCCCATTTGTTTGATAGCAAACTTCACAAAAAGCTTCTGAAACGGAATCAAGTAATAGCACGTCTGTAGTCAAGTACAGGTCATGGTAATCACCAAGTGAACCACACTTCAGTTCTGTGAAAACTTTTAGGGCATGATTGTACTCGCTTCTTGAAACACTCACATCCCCTCCTAATAGACTAATTTTCCACATTGCTCGTGGGGGAAGGCGAGTTTCTCGGAGTTTTTCGAAAGAGTTGAAGTATGAGTAGGGGTAATGCCCTTTATGTTTCAACATACTGACTTTTTCAGGTGAGTGGCCGAGTTTTTCAAAATAGTTCTCCAGCAGAAAAAACGTCTCGTTGGGTAAATTATCGACAAGTTTTGCCAACGGTGCTAGCATGAACCTATACGAATCGATGATTCTCAAATTTTCCTGATTTTTCCATTTTTGTCCGTGTAAGTTTTTATATATACTGAGATTGTCAAGGATATATATTTTTCTACAGCTGCAGGTGTTACGGAAAAAGTGTTTTCCGAATCGCTTTTTGCCAGCGCTTTGATAATAAAGTGTAAATCTTAATTTGACAAATGATGAGCTACCACTGGAAAGTAGTTGTTGTTTTTCTATTAGCGCTACACACATTGTGTGCCCAACCCAGGAACTTGTTGGTGTAAGGGCAATGGTCAGGTACCACTTGATCATTGTCGGAAAAATCGTTCTCGCATATCCAACAAATTGTAGCATCTTCCCGTTCCTGGTCTGTTATACCGGTGAAAGTGTAATATTTCCTTTTTTCTATCTAAATTTGTCTCGCTAAGGATTCAAGGGAGCTAATTAGCTCTTCCATCACATTCTGTCCTCTTTTAAGCTCAAATTTTAACAGGTCTTTTTTCCAAATTTGATAACTTCTAATGCGTAGCCGCACGGTTGATGGATTTCAATTGTTTGCGTGCTAGATTTTTGCGGATCAGGTTGCGGTCCATATACTGGTAAGAGCAGTGACTCCAGATCAAAGTAGATTACTCTGGGTACGTACCAACGAGCTGTTAAGTTTTTGAACTTGTGGTCATCTTTTCCCGGCTTGGGAATTGTAATGACGACATCTTCGTCTTGGTAGCACAGTTCTTGATGTCTTCTCAGAGTTTCGAATGAAGCGAATGTGTGGAAACATTTGCAGCAAATCTCAGATTGAAATCGGTGCACTTTGGGCCGGGCCTACCCGACCAGTTTTTGGAGATCACTTATCAACACATAGTGATAATTTGATCCATCTGTCAGCAGCAACAAGTCCACAATCAGGCTAGTAGTGAATCTGCTTAATACTCTTATGGGCAAAAACTCGCCATCGTTGTACCTGAACAGAAAAATATTTTTTATACCTAGGTTTGGAATGAAATATAAAGGGTGTTTGAATGGATGAAGAGTTTTAATGAAGTAACTTTAAGTTTTTTAAAAGGCAATTAGAATTTGCTTACCGGAAGACGTTGATTTGACAATTGTTCAGCTTTTCGAATCTGTCCATATCCATCAGACCCATTGCATTTCGTATTCTTCATTGATTTTCACAATTCCTTCTTTGTCGAGATCGTAGGTTGAGACTTTTTTTTCTCCAGCCAGCGTCTAGATGTGGGGTAGAAGGCCGGCTCATTCACATTGTGATATGCGGCAACAAAGCAATAGAGAAAGCAACGGTCATCATCTTTAGTGTTGATATTTGTGAGCAGAGTAGAAGCTGCGCTGAGTGCATCAGGTAGCTCGAGGTAGGATCCTGTTCTTATTGGTGAGAAGGCCCCAAAACTGATTTGCAATTTTTCAATTGTGTCAATAATCCATCCGCTACCATGAGAAGAGAACGAATCGACTTGGTTGACCATATGTTCAATCAGTTCCAAGAATTGATCCCCAGCTATTCCCTCGAAGTACACTGTCGATGTCTTAGTGTTCAGAAACAGCATGGTCATTTCGAAGTTTCCACTGTCCCCGCCTTGCGCAGTGGGAATTTCGATCATTCCCACTTCCACGTGGAATTGCACCTTGTTCGGGCCCTCTTTGACCCTTTCCAGTATGAGAGCATCTATTTCCTCTTTGTTTTGCATCATGACTTGAAGCAATTCCATTTCTTTTTCACCAACTTTGAGATAGTATTGACGCAATTTGCCTCTGAACGCGCTTTCCGTTGGGGCAGCGGAAGGCGGCGTCTCAATGCCGTCCCAAAGAGGCAATGCGTGCTTCTTCAGCAAATGTTGTTCATAGCTTTCCGCGGTGAGAACTATTGTATGGCAATCGATACAACGACTATTGGAAGTCATGTCATGTACCAGCTCGACGTGCTCTCGGGCTTCTGACAAACTCTCGAATGATTCGAGACACTCATCGCAAACAGTTTGAGGAGGAGGGGGAGGAAGGATCTTGTGAACTTTTTGCTCATGTCTTCTCAAGTTACTTTTAGAGCTCAGTATTAGAGCTCAGTAAGTATTTCAGGAAAGTTTCAAGATTGAAGTAAAACTGGTTATGAAAAAGCAAAAGCGAGAAGTGACTAGGACTAAAAACTTTGCGGGTAAGGGCAAGTGGAAGCTATGAACGAGCGTTATACTTCGCCGTGAACTTGACAATAACTACTTTCCTTTCCAAAAACAGGGTTTTTTTTTTACAGTTTCAAATTTTATATGTCTCATCACTCTGTTTGAGTGCAAGGCTTTAGTATAATAAAAACTGATTCATTTACAGCCTTAAACTTTTGCTGTAAATTTTAAAGGGTAGCGATAATTTGTTTTCGGTTTGGCGACTTTAAGGGGACTGGTTTAGTTTTTCAATCAACATTTCAGCACTAAATTACAAAATTTAAAGCTTGGAATGATTCAGATTGAGCCTAAAATTTTTTCTGACTAATTTTAACTGTGAAACAGTAATTTCCTAATGATTTCAAGCCCACTTCTTGGTTTGCTTAAAAAGGTATAACAAAAAGTAGAAATATGAGATAAAAGTATTCAGACAAAAAAAGCCCTCAACTATATAATTAAGTTGAAATAAAATAGTAAACTTAAAAAAAAAAGAAAATTTTGCAAATTAGATACCATGATAGTTGTCGATGCATGATAAGCATAGATTGTCATTTGAGTGTGTAAATGATATCGGAATCAAAAATTCCTTCATGTGATTCAGTGTCCCGTGAAATATTTCATATCATGTCCTTCGAAATATTAAGGCATGGCCGTTTGGTTTCAGGGGCAATAGCTAACCCCTCGTCTAGATGTGGGGTATGATATGAAACTACTGGTCAAAGCCAAGCTCCTCGGGAACGCCTCATGTTCTGTAAATTCGAGTGAAAATATTTTTTTCAAAATTAAAGGGAAACCTCAAAGTTGTGAAAAAATGAAAACTAAAGAAAAAAAATGTCTTTAAAATCTATCAACAAAAAAACCAGTTAATTTTATAGGATCTCGAGCACAGTTCTACTGGTCTTGTTCGAAACTTAAAAGACATAATTTTTTAATTTTTTTTCCTTCATTTTTAGCTTAAATTATTCGTTCTCATTTTAAATTCAAGTGAATGTGGTTTGAAATTTTTAGGAGCTATCTGATACCTAATTAGGACAAGCGTAGAAATTAAAAAACAATTATAGCCCAATCAATGAGAGTAAACGCTTAAAAAGTTGTGAGTTTTTGGGAAAATCTGATTTTTGTTAAATATTTTTTGAAAAATTTGGAAAAAAATTCCATTGAAATTACCCTCAATCAATTTGCCATGAATTTCTGAGCAGGGTTAAGGGTCATGTTCAATTTTCGAAAAAAAACATAAAACTCATTTTTTCACGTTTTTTACCAAAAAATTGTCAGTGTTACACCCAAAACATGTATATAAATGTAATATAAAGCAGAATTATGGCTTAAAACACTCTCTGTTACCCTGCGTAAAACCTGTCTATTCCCACCGGGCACAAAGTATAATGAGAGAGAGAGAGAGAGCAGAGAGTGTTTGATAAAAAGCCAA